GGAGGAAGGCAGGCCTGGCCCGGCGCTCCCCGTGAGGGGCCGGAGGAGGTGTGAGGAGGGAGTAAAAAGCCCCGTCTCCTCGGCCGGCATCTTTGTGGGGCCCTGCCGCGGGGAAGAGGAGCGGCGAGACCCGGGCGGCGAGTTACCGGTACCCCCCGTCTCACTTGGGGGCCTTCCTCCCCCGCCTGCGCTTCCCGGGAGCCGCCTCCGTTCCCGGCGGGTTTCCTGCACCCCTCTCGGCTGGATATCTCGGTGCCGCAGCGTCGCCGGTGGGACCGGCCGGGGAGAGAGCGGGCGAGGACTAACGCGGAGGAAACAACAGGTCTCCCTTCTCGCCTTCTAAAGCCATACCAGCGCCTTGCTCTTGGGATTATAAATGTTTGAACTAAGACCCAGGAAACTGGAAGGAGAGCCTCCCGTTGGGATTAATAGAAGAGGAAAGAAGGGAGGATTTTCCAAATCCTTCACGAGAAAGCTGGTGCCGTTTTCCCATGCTGTCTGTACGCTGTTTAATAATGCGATTGTGACCTGAGTGGAATTTATGAGCGATGAACTGTTGAAGCTTGTTGCACCACTGCATCAGAATACTTCTTTTATTTTTTTCCCTCGGCCCATGATTCCCCCATCCCAGCTGTTGCAGGACCTATGGGCCAGTAATAGAGGGATGGGAAGCTGAGACGGTTTATTTTCACATTCTTCCGTTCTGGAGACTTGGCTAGTTGGCTGAAGCTGCTGCTGCTTTTTACTGGATCTGCTGTTTACTCGGCAGGTTTATTTGTTTTCGTGTGCACGGGGTGTTTCAGTTAAATAGACACTGGACTAAGCTGAATGGATGCTTTGCAATCTGGAAGGCTTTTGGGGGTAACAAAAATCTACTAAAAACAGAAGAACTGGTACTGCAGGAAACCTAGGGCCTGTTTTCCAAGCCTTTTTATTTTACTGAGCAAGGTAAATAATGTAGTGGTTTTTAAAATACAGGGCTTATGGTAATCATGCACGAAAATGTTATAAAGCACTTCAGGCTGTTCCAGGTTTGTCAGGGGATTGAGAGGTCCCACTGTAAGGCTCAGAATAAGTTTAATTGTTCTTTAAGATGTTCATATATGAGTGTGAGGTTTAAGGCTGAGAACAAACTTTGTGGTACCCGAGTGGTTGAGAGCGCTATTTGTCTCTGATTTGCCTGGGGTTCTTTAGGTTTGTGATGTTGAGAGAGGCTGAAGAACTTTAGAAGTCTTAGTGGTTCTGTGAGTGTGTGCAGTAATTATGTTAGTGGGTTTTTTCCATGTTTTTTAAAAAACTTGGTGCCTTCAGCCTCGTGTAAGAAGGGGGTCTCTTAGAAGGGTCTCTTAGAAGTCCTTCCGATTTAACAGTAATATAGTATTTACATTTGCATTGTTAACTGTAAACATACTATGCCTTTAATTATTTTGGTTACCTTTACTTTTGTTATCCCCAGTGACAGCTGCTATCACTTCATGGTGAATTTTTTGCTTTTTATCTTTTTATGTGTGTATTTTCTGAACTGGATTCTTTGGATTTACCAGACTTACATGCTTCACTTCACCATAGACTTTCTACAGCCAGCATAAGCTCGAAGTACTGTTTTAGATACCACCTTTGTATGTTTCAAACGTCGGAAGAAGCAGATAATATTCTCTAAATATGCAGTCTTGTCAGTTATTGGTTTAAGTGTATAATTTTTGGTAGCATGCTGTGTGCCTTATCTCTTTTTTTTTTAAACATCTCAGCAGCATTTTATTCTTAACAAAAATATAAATCCATTAAAATGAGATCACAATTTCAATCTTAGCTGTAAAAATCTGGTTTTGCAAGAAGTCACAAGATTCTCATTATGAAGTGAAGCCTTGATTAAATTGATTGTCTACCTTTCCTCACGCAGTCTTAATGAAATAGTGGCAAATGCTAAGGTGTTGGCAACCTTTGCTGATGCTATCATTGGGAAAGCTAAGTTGGTATTATGGGTAGTGTCCAAAGTTCCTTTGCTTGTCCTGTTTAGATTTGTTTGACTTAAATTTATGGTCTTTGTTTTGTCTTAATTTGTTTCAAGATGATGTGTGAGGTGATGCCAACCATCAGTGAGGCAGAGATTCCCTCTGGGGGAAATGGAGGCCATGGTTCAGGTTCCCCGTTACAGTCAGATGCTGATTCCCATTTTGAGCAATTAATGGTATCCATGTTGGAAGAAAGGGATCGCCTTCTGGAAACGCTAAGAGAAACTCAGGAGACGCTAGCATTGACCCAGGGCAAGCTACATGAAGTTGGTCATGAGAGAGATTCCTTGCAGAGACAGCTCAATACTGCACTTCCACAGGTATGGACGTTTTTAAAGCAAGGTATCTTTTAATAATTTTTGTGTTGTTTGTGGTATTTGGGTGGGTTTTTTTGTTATATTTATTTTACTGAAGTCAGGTTAGGTTAGGGGACACTAGCTTAGTAGTTTCCTCAAGTATCTGTTGGTGCTTGCTCATTTTTTGAGACAGACATAAAAGCAGAGCGAGCGTCTTTCCCTCCTTTTTCCCTGTTTCTGGTGTTTCTTTGGCTTAGCCTGAGTGTGAAGTAGTTACCTAAATCCTCTTGTTTTTTTAGAGCTTGATGGATTTTCTTGTCACTAGTATTTTTTCTTAAATGTTGTTTCTAACTGCCTGATCGATTTACGTGCTTAAGAATTACTTACAGACCATTCTGGGAAAGAAAACAGGCCGTTCTGATGCTGTTGTGGACTTTGACTTAAAAACTTGAAAAGTTTAAGACTGCTGCCTTGTGAATACATGCTGAGTTTTCATAGCAGTGTAGAAGTCCAAGTGCATTGTTTAACTCAATTTAGTTCCTTTTGGAGAGTTTGGATTTGGGATTTTTTGGTGTTGTTAGGATTTACTAATTATTTACTTCTGGAGGATGCAGCATACCTACATGCAGCCTGTAATGCTGTGTTACGTAGGGCAGTTAGTGTCGTGAGGAAAGGTGATTGGTGCCTAACTCTATTTTTATCCATCATAGTTAAAAGAATACAACTGAACTTTGAACACCCTGAAAGCATTTGGCTGTAGGCAAAGCAGGGGTTGCTTTCAGGTGTTGGTTAACTGTTGATTAGCTGTCCACTTTCCAGCGTGGTTGGTCGTTGTCCCAAGTATGTCATGGTACTGTTACACCTGCATACATTCTTCCAAGAATACCTATTATTTTTACAAATGTTTACATATCTTTAAATATTGTAGTTAGGGTTTAAAACAGTAGTTTTAAATCCTGCTGTTCCTTCTGCTCTCATTATAATGTAATCATTGTATGACTCTTGGTATGGTAATCAGTACTGGCAATTACTCTGGAATAGAAACTAAAAAGCAGTACATGTTAATGTAGCTATGTTACAGTGGTATGATGGAAATCAGAAAGGAGAAGTTTCCAACCTCTGCTGTTCCCTCTATTAAATCATGTGCTGCAGGCAAAAATAATTCTTTGGGGTTTTTTTTGGTTCTAATAATTGTGGCTTCTCTTTAGCCACTATTTCAGGTCTGATGCATTAATGGATGCCATTAACCACTTGTATGATCTGTAACTGTCGTATGTGAATTTGTGGCTGAGTAGAATCACCCGAGCTCTAAACTGCGCTGTTCCTCTCTTCCCTTTCCAGTTCTCAGCTTTCCTTCCTGAATCTAGTAAGCTACTTACATGTCAGCATTACTTTCTAAACATTTCTTAAAGGATTAATGCAGTTAAGTAAACAATTCCCATTTTCGAGTATGTCATAATTGTATGGTGTCATGTAGGAAAGCAAGTCTCTCAGTTCATTTGAGAGTGAAATTTTACTGCAATCTTATATAAATACCCAGAAGTGTATGGCATTTTTGTAGACTGCTGTTGAAAAACACTGTATGTGCAACTATGCTGCTTTTGCCCTCAGTGTTGCTTAAGATCAAATGATTGTGGAATTGGTGCTTTCAAAAGTCAAAAATATTTTGTTACTCTTTCTACAATCAGGAATAGCTTCTGTACTTGACAAATTTTTGTTGTTTCGGTGAGGAGTCAGTTTCTTCATAGGTGTAGATTTCTGAGGTGAAACAATGCTTTTAAAAATTCTAGTGAGTGCTCCCTAGGAAAACTTTGTGGTGACTAGTCAAACTTTTTGTTAATTACTTCAAGCTGAGCATTCTTCTGAACTACTGTCTCATGACCTGTTGTTTAGCAGTGGATTTCAAGGAGGGGTAGAAGCAGGATAACTTTAAATTCACTGGTAAGTGTGTTGTATTTTTTTTTTTCCAGGAAAGAAGGGATTTAGTAGTGTAGTTTTTTTTTGAAGTTGTTCTTAGCACAGTACTTCAGTTTAGAAGAAAGATATGTGAAGATCAGTTTGGCTGTACAAATACTAGTATAATTGCATAAATTACTAAATCGCTATGTAACCAATGTATTATTTCTCCCTTAGCCTTGGCTTGTAGCTTGTAACATGTCTTGGTAGTTGATTTTGTGGTACTTTAAGGAGTATGGAGTTGTTTGTATGTATGCCTTTCCTGGTTTATGTATTTAGCTGAATCATACAGTTAGACAGTTCTGCTGACTGATGGAAACTCCTCGTATAGAAGGATTGCCAAATTGATTGCTTCTTCACTAAAAATTCTTCTCTTGTTTTAGTATGAAGACACTTCATTTCTAATGGCATCCCTGTACTTAATTACTTACATTCACTGGGTTTCTGTGTAGGAGAGGCTCATACTGGTGTGTGTATTGTTACAAAATGGAAAATTGGTACTTGTATATTTGCACATCTTATAGATTATAAAAGTAAATGCGGTTTACTTTGCAGCAGTGACGCACGTTTTCCGAAGTGTCAGAGAAGTGGACTTTAGTAGTATACTTATAGTGTGGTGGTCAGTTAAAGGCATCAGTTCTGCCTCACATAAACCTGAAAGAGCTCTTTAGAGTAAGATGACTTTTGTTGTGGATGTCTAATTCACAGAGAGAAGAGCATTCTAATGTTATATAGATTTACTTCATCTGTTATATTTATATTTACAGAGTAAAACTGGCATTCTTCTTGTGTGGACAGCTGGAAATGAAATACATCAACATTGTCTTGATAAAATAACTGGATTCTTGGCAATGTTTTCTGGGAGTTACCTTCTATTACAGATTACCCTAGTCAAAATATACGCTGACACTGGAAGATGAAATTGATGAAATCCAATTGCTGTGCAAGAACTTCAAATTAATTTTAGTCTTAGATTTTTTTCACGGAAAAAAAATCCCTATCTTTTTACTTTGAGAACTTAGAGAACTTTTATTTTTAATGTAAACACATCATTATGATTTAATTATGGTCTTAGTGGATTTAATCATGCCCTTTATGTGCCTTCTACAGCGTATTCTATAAAATACAAGGTTTGTGTGCTTAAAATTTTTAAGTTAATCTGTGGAACATAAAGGATGCTGCTGCATTTAAAAGTTAAATTTTGAACTTGGGTAGATGAGGTCCAAGTGACTTGTTCTTGCTGTTAAGGTTTTGCAGGCTGGGTAGAATTTCATGTAGGTGTTTTTGTAAATGACAAGATACTTGTTTTGAATGGAGAAGACTAGAGTTTAATTTACAGGGACTCTGGTACCTAGCACAAATGAAAGCACAGTTGATGAATTCACTGTAACTTATATCAGGATGAAAATTTAAATATTTATGTTAAATTTTTTAAGCTGATGTACAAATATTACACTTCTGTAATACAGCAGCGCTCTTATTAAGAACTGTCTTAATCTTGCACTTCTAATCTTTTGGTTTTGAATTTATCGTACTTTATTTCCATCTTTATGCAAGGTAAGTAAATAATTTACAAGTTCTCTCTGTATTTGTGATGGTTTTGTTCAGAATTTCTGTGTTCAGCAGTGTATATATAGTGGCAGATGGGAACTTTCTGTCAGAGGCTGTGTGTGTCTGTGTGTAAATGAGAGCACTTCACTGTAATGTGGAGTTAAACGTGGAAGAAGAAACTGCCTGTAATTCTGGTTTGGCTTTACTAGGTTGCCCGTCACATCTTAATTTAGCATGAGTCTGCAAACAGGCCATCTTTACTTGCTTTCTGCCTGTACTAAGTATCGCTACTGCACATTTCAGTTAAAAATAGTGTGTCTGTGTATATTTGTGTTATGTCTCAATGGAATGATCTACCTTAGACAATCTCAGAACTACTTTTTATGCCTTGAGTGTAAGAAGAAGTCTGAAGACTGCGCTGGTATTGTTTTATAATGATGGACTTGAGGATTTAGTTGCAATTTTAATGATGGTGGTGTTTGGATTTCCTCCAGACAAGTTTTAAATAATACAGGATGTCATAGATATAGAAATGAGGTTCTGAATTGTACATAATACGAAGAACATGGTTGCAGAAAGTACATTAAGTGAAGGGCTTGCCAAAATGCAACAGCTGAGACTTCCTTAGGATTTTAAGTGCAACTCCATTTACAGTATTCACAACTGTTAAGCCATGAGGTGAAATAATTTACACTTCTTACTCTATCAAGATGTGGTACTGACTTCTGTAGGGAGCTTTGTGTCCAGAAAAGATGGAGATCAAAAAGGATTTCAGATGTGCACATGCATATCAGAGGTGCCATGTCCTCTGTTTCTGTCATCCCATTCTGACAGCAGAGATGAACGTGACTCGTTCCACTGCATTTTCAGACGACTAATTTTAGTCTTATCTGTGTTGAGTTTCAGTTGCTAAATCTTACATGGCTCTTACTGTTAGTAAGTTACTGGATAGATACGTCTTCATCTGCACTAGTTTAAGTTGGATGGGGAGAGACGTTAATATTCAAAATTCTTCACTGACTCTTTTCAATAAACCTCACCTTCCCCAACATTTCTTTCTTTGCAAGGCATAGAAACAGACAACATTTGTCTAAAACTTTAGAATATGAAGTTATCTGAAAGTATGCTCCATGATTGGGCAAAAAGAATGGCAGCTATTCTTACATATTACAGCAGAGTATTCTGAGGACCAAGTGTCTAGCTTTTGTTCTGACTTCTTAATTTCTCATTTAAATATGTTTGGGTGAGTTTGTTTATTGAAACATCCCATCCCTACCCAGCAGACATCTGCTTGCCTGTTGTTAGCAACTTGGTGTTTATACTGTGCTTTTAATTTAGGTTATCTTGATTATAAATAGACCTTTTAGCTAGGTTAAATTTAGAATTATTTTTAAGTTTTCTTGTGTTTGAGGATGAACTTAAGTGCTGTTATGATATCCCATCCATCCTTTTAGTAAAAAAAAAAAAGTCTAAAACGATTGTTTTTATTTTCCATGGTTGATTTGTAGGAAGAATGT